CCTGTTGCAGGTCATGCCATAGTACTGCCCTCTCCTGTGCCTTATTTCTAGCATAGACCATTGTCACTATTATCTGACTACTATTAATTGGGACATCCACTAAGCATTGGATAAATTGCTCATGGATATGAATTATGTTAACAGTCAAAGATTTTCTCCATAGTACCCATATTCTTCCATTTTCAGCCTTAGAATAATTGCAGCAGTAACCCCAATCCTTTGCTACCTTTTGCAGTATATTTTTTGCCTTCTTTTCTTTAACTCTAGTCTCTAGACATCCAAGGATGTCTATTTTATTCTTTTGCAGAAAGTTTCTTAACTCCTTCTGCTTATGGGGCTTGTTAAGCCCTCTTATGTTCTAGGTACTGATGATCATGGTGGTTAGTGTATAGGCTCAGCCAGCAGTGCTTCTCCCTGTACAAAACTTTGCCCACACTCATCCAGCATTGTAAATCTGTTTGATGTGCTAGCTTCTACAATCTACATAATTGGCTTATTCTGTACTCTACTTCCTCCATGTCTGCTTGCCATCTGCATGTTTTGATCAGCTTCTTGTCCAGCTGTTACTAGGTTTCCCATGTCTGCTTCATTTGAAGGTTGTTCTTCTATCACCTCTCCTTGTTTTTGTTGGCCTTTCAGTATCCATTCTTGCTCTACCGTTTTTTCTTCTGTTCCTATTTCTTCTTTTAGGAATTTGAAATTCTGCATCTTCAGGATTCTTATGATTGGTTTTCCAGCACTCAAAGTTATCATGGCCAAAATGCACACATTCACTACAAAACTTTGGTCTCCATTTATACAAGATTTCCTGTTGCCATGTTCCAGTAGGGGTTTCAATCTCAATACTCTCCACCAAAGGCTTGGTAATGTCTACCTTCACTAGTACTCTGGTATAGGAAATTTTGTTCAGTTCAGCTGTGAATTTGTCAGTGTACATTGGCAATCCTACAACACTTGCCACTTTGCTCAATACGTCAGCAGACTAATACCCAGTAGGCAGACTTGGAAAATGAATCCACAAAGGAATTGTGGTAATGCATTTAGGGTCAAAGTGGAAATCCCTTTCCCAGTTCTGCAGAATAAGCGGTTTATTGTGATACGAATAAGGTCCTGCTTGCATTACCAGATCCCTTTCCTCAATTGTTGCAAATCAAAATACAAAGTAGCCATCCTTATGGTATAGAATTTGGGGCTTGGTGACAAAGTCCCACACAGATTCAACATAAGATTCCATAGATTTCTCATATGGAGCATCCCCCAGTACATACCCTATTAGAGTTGTCGCCCAGTGTTCATTCAACATATTTACATCTTCTTCCATGATTTTAATGACAATCTTACCATCTCGATGACTTGGCGGCACATATTCCAGCTTCATTCCCATCTGAGAATTGCGGTTTTGCTGCCTGAGTTCTTTTGCATGTCCTTCCTTATCTATTCCAGCTCTAGCTGCTGCTGCTTGTTCTAGATCTGGTGAAGGTAGAGTTGAGGATCCAGCTTCCGAGAATTGAAGCCTTCGCGGACTAGTTGGCAATTTATCTTTGCCCTTTTGGCTTTCCTTCTCCTTCACTTCCTTTGTACTGTTCCATTGATTACTATTGCATTCATCTTCCTCGTTCAGCTCATTTTCCTCTCGAATTGGTTGGAATCGAGCAGGTAAAAAGCTTCCAAACGTTAATGGAGTGAATGAGTTCATCCCTGAGGTCACCGGTGTTACAGTGGTCATCACCGGAGCTGTGTTTTTGCGTCTTCTCACCATCGTCAGTGCACGTTAGCCTCCCTTGGCTTATCGTGCGCCGAGAGCATTACTTATTTTCTCTTTTACTACTCTCCCCGAGGTAAGTCTCTTTTCTAACCTTGTTTTTTTGATAATTACTTCATTTAAATTTTAATCCAGCTGTGTAATTACACTTGTGCAACCAAATAATGCACTTGTAATTACACTGTAATTACGTTATGACAAACAAACTGGTCATCGTAATTACTATATTGTGTCCCTAGTAATTACACCAATTTTAATTACCGGGTGGCTTTCCAAACAGACCCTTAATATGCTATTGACTTCTAAAGTAAAAGTCGAATTAAATGTGACATTATAATTTTTTTTTTGAGTCGAGGGTCTATCAAAAACATGCTCTTTATCGTTAATAATAACAATAACAAATTCAGTGTAATCCCACAAGTGGGGTGGGAGGGTAGTGTGTACGCAGACCTTAACCCTACTTTTAAGAAGGCAGAGAGGCTGTTTTCGTTAGACCCTCGGATGTGCTCTTTATCTTCACAAGGTAGAAATAAGGTCTGCGTACAAACAATCCTCCCCAGACCCCACTTTGAATATGTTATTATTATTGTTGTTGTTTAACCATGAGTTTAATTAGGAAGCCCAAAGTTTAAGAAAGAGTTTTTTGAAATTTGTAGTCTAAAATATAATATATTTTTTGTATATATAATATCATATCACTAAGAATAAAATAAAATAATAAATTTAAAATTACTATTAAAAATAAAAATATTTTATTCTTTACTAATGGATCAAAAAAGGAAAAATGTGTCACATGCAACTAAGCAAAAGAGAATACTCCCTCCGGTACACAATAAGTGACTTTTAAGATTTTTTGGCTCAACTATTAAAAGATCAATTAGTAACATTTATTAAGAGTATTATTTGACTAAATTACCCTAAATGTATGGGTCAAACCCATCTTTAGTCGAAATGGTATCAGTAAAATATTCCTAGGGCACCACGTATCGAAGTAATCTAATTATCAGCAAAGGCCGTGGTCGAAGAGCCAGCAAGACTGAAGTCGAAGAGACGTTATCAAGGCTGAGGTCGAGCACCCTTGACATAGCTATAACGGCTAGTGTCGATATATGACACAAAAGAGAATATTCTAGAGAATATTCTCTGTATTTGTACTGTTAGGGTTTTTAGGAACATGTTTCGTATAAATAGAAAGGGACACAATGGTAGAGACATGTGATATTCATTTGTAGAAATACACGTTGACTCCAAAGAGAGAATCAGATTTCATTGCAAGCATACAAGCATCACCTTTTTACTAAGATTCTTGTCTACACTTTTCCGAGAATAAATCAGATATTCGAAAGATTATCTATCAATCATCTTTGTCAGAAAGAATATTCATTACTTCCATCTTGTCTTGGGTGACTTCTTTGCATTTGTTTACATAAATATCATTTATTGTTGTTCATCAATATTTAATGATATATTATTGCCTTTTTCTTGAATATTGATTATATGCTGCCATTGCTATCAAGATATTCCTACGTGGTATTTATTGCACTTTTGAGAACTCCATTTTGAGGATATTATTGGTAGCTAAGATTGACCCTCATTTTCATTAATTTAATTAGTTGAACCTAGATCTATATTTTTTGGTCAAACAACTTGGCGCCGTCTGTGGTGATTTCCTAGTTAAATTTTTTGTTTCCTCTAGATCTACAATTAGCGTGAATCACTAACATCGAAAAAATCCAAGATTTCCTTTCTTTGTGTATACAGAACCCTACATGGCAGGTAACCAAGGAGAAAGGACAAAGATAACAAGTGACTTCCCGACTAACCTCATGAATGTCATCAACGGAAGTTGTGAAACAGCAGGCGAGGGCGTGACGCCCAACGTGTCCCCTAGGAGAGAAAGGTCGCCTCCTCCACACTGCAGCATAACAAAACCCAGCGGAAAAGGGGCCTCCACGTATGCAGAAGAACGGACACCCCAGTTGTGAAAAAACTCCTCGAGGCATGGCTAACCGACACATTAACGAGCATCCTCAACAAACTTGCTCCGGGAATGACTAAAGAAGCCGCAAGAGCTTACGTGATACAACAAACGGACGAGCAGTCAACCAACCAAACCCTCCAATGACAGGTATAACTCACAGTATTTACTAATAGTGTAGATGACAACGCCCCCGCTACCATTCTAAAGAGGATGGAGGAAATAGAGAATGAAAACAAGGCACTCCGAGACTAGATGAAAGAACATCAAGAACGAGTTGACAAGATATCGGGCGCCCCTAAGTTGTTGCCCAAAAGGGACGCTGACAGGTTCGTAGATCAGCCATACAACAATGACGGAGCCCCGTATGCCATACAAAAGACTTTCAAAATGCCGCCTTATCTCAGGATATACGACGGAACGACCAATCCTAAGGATCATGTGACTCACTATGTCAGCGCCGTGAAAGGAAAAGACCTCGCCAAGGAACACATGTCCTCTATTTTGCTGAAAAAGTTTGGTGAAACCCTTACGGGAAAGGCATTGATGGGTATTCATAGCTACCAGCCTGCTCCATAGAAACTTTCGAGGAAATTCGTAATCGCCCACGCCGGAGCCAAGAAGGCCGAAGCAAAAGTAAAGGACATATTCACCACTAAACAGTCCTTTGGAGAGGGATTAAAGGACTTCTTACCTGGTTCAACCGGGTAAGGATGACTTTGCCAAACATATCTGGAGGGATGGCAGCCGCAATTTTCCAGAACGGGTTGAGTAGAGATGGTTCAAGAGCAACTAGAAAACTATTGAGCCGATTGATAAAGTATCCTCCAGCCACTTGGGATGAAATCCATAATGCTTACTGTGCCGAGGTCCGAGCAGACGAGGACGACTCAACGGGCCAACTCACCGGCTAACCTCGGTACAAGCCGAATCCAGAAAAGAACGAAGAGACAACATCAGAAGAGATCACCTGGTTTCGCGACCTAATAGGGAACAACACCAGCCATATGCCAGGGCGGCCGCTGCACCTTCGTCCCGCTATGAAGAAGGCCCATCTAGGCCAAGAACGGGGACTCATTAGAATGAAAGAGGTATGCTCCCTTTATTATCTGCTCACAATTTTTGTGTATCATTTACAGAAATAGTCTACGCTCTTGAGAAACTAGGAACAATGGTGAAGTGGCTAACGAAGATGAGATCAGACCCGAGCACCATAAAATCCAACGACCTCTGTGAGTTCCACCAGGAACGTTGGTAAAAATGGAAGGTTGCATTGCCCTCAGACAGGAAGTCGTAAACATGTTGCGGCAGGGACATCTCAAAGAGCTGCTAAGTGACAGGGGTAGAAATAACTTCGCTAGAGGATGCGAACACCAAGGAACGCCGAAGCCGCCATCACCAGCTCGTACAATCAATATGATCATCAGCCGCGGCGATGATGCCTCGATCAACGACGTTAAGCTCACCACCATGCATAAGCTTAAGCAGTCTATCACCCGCGAACAGTACAACGAACTCCAAAAAAGTATCATCTTCGATGTGTCAGATGCCGACGATTTGACTTTCCCTCATAATGATGCCCTTGTTATTACTTTACGCATTTTGGATACCGATGTTAACATATCATGGTGGACGACGGAAGCGGCGCGTGCATTATCCAACCCCGAGTCCTTACCCAAATGAGACTCGAGGGTAAGATAGTGTCGCATTGCATCACGCTAATCGGTTTTAATAATGCAGTTGAGCGGCCGTCAGGGGAAATCACAATGCCCGTCTTGGCCGGCGGCGTAACACTGGAGACGACATTCCATATCATGGACCAGGCCAGCGCATATAACGCAATAGTGGGACGATCGTGGATACATCCCATGAGAGCCATCCCCTCCATCCTATACCAAATAATAAAATTCCCAACACTATCAAGAATATTCAGCATACGCGGGGAACAACGCATGTCCCGAGAGTGCTACCGTATTGCCTTAGATAGCACGACAACCCAACAGAAAAAAATAAGGAAAAAGAGGCATAGCAATCAACAAGGCCGAGGTCGACACAGGGAGAGACCGGAGACACTATCACGGATCCCGAAATGGTCGAGGCAGCCGACTCGACCATAGAAGAGCTCGAACCCGTTCAATTGGACCTCAACGACCACCACAAAAAGGCCTATATCGGCTGCAAACACTAGGAACCAGGTAAATTAAGTCAATTCTTAATAACTAATGCAGATTTGTTTGCCTTCAACCATGCAGATATGCCGGGCATCCCAAGGGAAATCGCCACACACAAATTGAACGTCGACCTCGTTCCACCCAGTTAGACAGGCAAGGCGTAAATTCAACCCCTCCATTAACGATGCAGTTCGTGAGGAAGTTGAAAAATTGTTAGAGAACAATTCTATCCGGGAGTCAAAGTACCCTAAGTGGATCGCCAACATAGTGATGGTAAAAAAAGAAAAACGGGAAATGGCGGATATGCGTGGAATTCACAGACTTAAACAAATCATGTCCAAAGGATTCGTTCCCATTACCTCACATCGACCTACTCATCGACGCAACAGCCGGGCACGAGCTGTAAAGTTTTTTGGACACTTACTCAGGCTATAACCAAATCCTTATGGAGGAAGAAGACCAGGAGAAGACCATGTTCATCACCCACCAAGGAACGTATTGTTATAGGGTCATGCCTTTTGGTTTGAAGAATGCGGGACCACATATAAAAGATTGGTGACAAAAATGTTCAAAGACCAGCTCGGTAAGACCATGGAAGTATATATAGATGACATGTTGGTCAAGTCCATAAAGTCAGAGAACCATATCGACCATTTAATGGAAGCTTTTGACATACTAAGACGATACGGGATGAAGCTAAAGCGGAGAAGTGTGCGTTCGGCATAGCCTCGGGAAAGTTCTTGGGTTTTTTGGTGTCACACGGGGGATTGAGTTTAGATCAAAGCTATCGAAGGGATACCCGAGCTCTTGGATACCAAGAAGCAAGTCCAAAGGTTGACCGGTCGAATCGTTGCCCTATCAAGATTCATCTCGTGTTCATCTGATAGGTGTCACAAATTTTTCGGCGTGCTCAAAAAAGACAACAGCCTCAAATGGACTCCTGAATGCATCTAGGCTCTTCGAGAACTGAAAGCGTACCTATCATCACCACCCTTACTGTCAAAACCCGAACCAGGGTAGCAACTCCTCCTATACCTAGCCGTCTCTGAAATAGTGGTAAGTGCAGTCCTTATCCGCAAAAACAAAGGTATGTAATCTCAATCTATTACATTAGCAAAAAACTCGTCGACGCCAAGACAAGGTACCCACACCTTGAAAAATTGGCTCTGGCATTGGTCGTAGCTTCACAAAAGCTTAGACCCTATTTCCAGTGCCACCCCATCTCGATCGTCACAACCTTTCCCTAAGAAGCATTTTGCATAAACCTGAGCTTTCGAGGAGGCTGGCCAAATGGGCCATCGAGCTAAGCGAGCACAACATCACATACCAGCCGCGAACGATGATAAAGTCGCAGGTGCTCGCTGACTTCATCGCCGACTTTAGTGCGAAAATAATGTTTGAAGTCGAGAGGGAGGCCATCCAAGCTTCCATCCAAACGCAAGACCGTTGAGTCCTACACACCGATGGCGTATCCAACGCATCAGGGTCCGGACTAGGACTCGTACTCGAGGTCTCTACAGGAGAAGTCATTTGAAAGTCCATAAGATTCCCTGGTATAACTAACAACGAGGCCGAGTATGAGGCCGTAATTGCAGGGTTGAAGCAAGTATTCAAGTACGGGGTGAAACGGTTGAAACTTCATTGTGATTCCCAACTCGTAGTCAACCAAGTCACAAGGACTTACCAAATCAAAGAACAAAGATTGCCAAAATACCAGACTGAAATCTTCAAGCTACTGCCTGAGTTTAACGACTGGTAGCTCGACCAGATTCCACGGACGCAGAATGCCGAGGCAGATGGCCTCGCCAAATTGGCCTCAGCTACCAAAAGCATCACGACCGGTGACAAAAGCGTAGTGCACCTCCTCAACTCGTCACTAGACTAAATCGAGGTAAGAACCATAAACTTGACTTGGGATTGGCGCAATCGTGTTATTGCCTATTTGTAGGACGGAACACTCCCAAACGATAAGAAAGAAGCCAAATAACTAAGAATACAAGCGGCCATATATAGACTTATCTATAGCAACCTATACAAGAGAGCTTACGGCAGTCCGCTGGGAAAGTTTTTTGGCCCAAACCTGACCCTGCGCGTCCTCGAGGAAGTCCATGAAGGCCATTGCGGTGATTACTCCGAAAATTGAGCACTACTCAAATGCCTCATACGGGCGGGATAATATTGGCCCACCATGAAAAAGGATGCCGCAAAATTCATGAGGAATGAGAATAGTGCCAAAAATATGCCTCGATGATTCACCAAGCAGGAGAATACCTCCATTCAATCACCTCCCCGTGGTCATTCATCAAATGGGGAATAGACATTGTGGGCCCCCTCCCAGTAGGGCGAGGTAATGTACAATTCCTTTTGGTTTTAACTGACTATTTCTCTAAATAGGTGGAAGCAAAAACATTCGCCCAAATACGGGAACAAGAGGTAATCACCTTTATATGGAGAAACATCATCTGTCAATTCTGCTTACCCAAGAAAATCAGTTGTGACAACGGACCCCATTTCACCGGAAAGAAAACCATTGATCTCTCCGAGAAATGGTATATCAAGATGGTACTCTCAACCCCATATGACCCAGCGGGTAACGGCCAAGCAGAATCCTCCGAATTCCATATTGAACATCATGAAGAAGAAGCTCGAGGACGCTAATGGACTATGGCATGAAATACAATCAGAAGTATTGTGCGCTTAGAGAACAACTCTGAAGACCAGAACAGGAGAGATGCCCTACTCTTTGGTCTCTGGGACCGAGGCAGTAATACCGGTCGAGGTCGAAGAACCCAGCCTAAGGTACTCCCAGGAAAGCGGTATGAGTAACAATGAGACGGAAGGCAGGAACTCGACGAAATCGACGAACGAAGAGATATGGCATACATAATAATGGTCGCCCAAAAACAACAAGAGGAACACTATTACAACAAGAAAGCAAAGATTCGGCCGCTTAAAGTCAGGGACTACGTAATGAAAGCCAAAACTCAAGCGAGTAAAGACCCCTAGGAAGGAAAGCTGGGAGCAAACTATGGCGGTCCGTACAAAATCACAACCAAAGCAAACAATGGTTCATTCCAACTAGAGACAATGGAAGGAAAGCAACTACCAAACAACTGGAACATCAGCCACCTCAAATACTTCAACTTCTGAGAGAAAAAGTGTCCCTAAAGTCATACTCTTTTTCCCTCACTTGAGTTTTGTCCCATTTGGGGTTTCTCAAGGAGGTTTTTAATGAGGCGGCGAAGGGAACACTTCGGGTCGAAGTACGCGAGGGTGGGACCGTTGTTACCATTTCATTGTTCTACTCCTCAACATTCTCCAAGTCAGACAATGAAGGTACTAGATAGGCTGGGATTGGGGCTGGAATACCAGCCAACACCATAAATCAGTAATTTTCTCCAAGTATGTAACCAAAGAAACAATGTCAAAGCAATAAGAAACTTACGTTTATCAACACCCTTTTCGTATTAAGGCTATGATCGACCCCGCTCGAACAGACACCTACCATCCCTCGGCCACGATTAATGAAAGATTGTGTTCGACCCTATTCGAACAACACCTACCAGCCCTCGATCGCGATTTAATGAAAGGTTATGTTCGGCTCCATTCGAAAAAATACCTATCGGCCCACGACCGCAATTTAATGAAAGGTTATATTTGACTAAGCTTGAACAGTCACCTACCGACCCTAGGCCGTGATTCAAAGAAAGGTTATGTTCGATCCCGTTCGAACTACCCTCAGCCACGATTTAACGAAAGGTTATGTTCGGTCCCGTTCGAACAAACACCTACCGACCCTCAGCCGCAATTTAATGAAAGGTCATTTTCGACTAAGCTCGAACAGACACCTACCGGCCCTCGGTCGCGATTTAACGAAAGGTTATGTTTGGCCCCATTCGAACAATCACTTATCGGCCCTCAGCTGCGATTTAATGAAAGGTTATGTTCGACTAAGCTCGAACAAACACCTACCGGCCCTCGACTTCGATTCAATAAAAGGTTATGCTCGACCCCGTTCGAACAAACACCTAATGGCCCTCGGCCGCGATTTAACGAAGGGTTATGTTCGACTAAACTCAAACAAATACCTATCGATCCTCGGCCACGATTTAATGAAAAATTATGTTCAAACCCGCTCGAGAAAACACCTATCGGCGCTCAACCACATTTTAAAAAGAAATGCACACGACATATTAATATTCGGCTCCAAGGCTACGACCAACTAAAAAGATAACAATAGAAGCAAAAAACAATAGAAGCAAGAAACATACAAGTGCAGAAAATAAACTAGGAAGGGAAAAAGATGCAAGGAACAACTTTGATATTTCAAACTTGAACTATTTACAAAGGCTCATGAAGACGCTGGCAAAAAACACAAAAATGTCAAAAAGAAAACTGTTAGTCGCTGCTATCACGACCTTCATTACCCTCGCAAACTTGGTCTTCAATGACGTCGCCACCCCGACTACTAACACCTTCACCTTCTTGACCCCCCTTTCCATCGCCACTTTGCCTACAGGATAAGTGGTATCGTACCAGGCGTTCTCCTCAAGCCGGTCTATACCCTCGTCCCCCCCTCCTCATCGGCCTCAGGTGTAGCAGGATCATAGCCACAAGTGACTCGAGCTTCACGAGCCTTAACACGAACATCTTCAAGGGCAACCTCAGAAAGGGATCCCGCCGCATGCAAATCTCGAAAGACATCTAACTGGGCCTCGACATGAATCCATTCCTTATATAACTCCCAAGGAATATTGGGTAAATTTGAAATGCGGAAAGAGGACGGTTGTGCAAGTAATTGGGCTTTCTCGGCCTCCAAAGCGGCCACTAGATCTGAAGAACAAAGTTATCTTTCTCCAGCTTTCCGATCCTCTCCTCGATTCAATCTTCCTTAGCACTCGTTGTTGATTAACCGTTCTCCTGCTCGGCTTGAAGAGTCCTATTTG